GCATTTCGTGGGATAATCTACCTTCCTGAAGGTTTACTAAAGCCCCCCCTCCCCCCTTATCCTCCCTCCCTTTACACCACCACAACCCCACTTCTTCTCCTCTCCTCTCCTCTCACCTCCTCCTCCTCCTCTTCCTCCTTATCGGCCCCACTGTAAGCAGCATGTGGTTTCCTGCCAACTTCTGGGAGCTGTGAGCAGCCTCTCCAAACAGGAACACGCATGAAGACATTCCACTGCTGAAGGAAACAGTGTCCTCAACCGCCCTCCCCCTCTCCCTCCCTACCCTCCCCTCTTCTCCCAATCCCCCCGTGGACGCTTCCACACATCCCACACAGCTCCGCCGGGGCTTGACCGCTGGACAATCAGCACACATTAAACTCACACAAAACGCACACAAGATGCAGGCACAGACTGCAGCCGTGCATCACCACACATGGTCGTGGAAATGGAGATGGCTGTGAGAAAGAGGGAGATGGTGGGGGAGAGAGTGAGCGTGGGTGTGTAAATGGTAAAGGGACTGTACACTATAGCTTCGTCTTCCGATCACTCAATGCGCTTTGACATTACATGTCATCATTCACCCATTCATTCAGTGATGACAGGGGCTACCATGCAAGGTGCCCAAGGACACATCGACATGGACTAGCCCGGGATCGAACCGCCGATCCTCTGATTGAAGGATGCTCTACCACTGAGCCACCTGTATGAGACGGTCCACCCACAACAAATGGATTGAACAATTCTGTAAAGAAATTGTTCAATTTATTTGTTCAATTTATCATCAAAATTTAGCTTTTCGAGCAGCAGTCTGACTTTCTTCAGAGTGCTTCTTCACCACGTTTGTCCACGAGTTGTCAGATAGTTTCTTCTCCTTTACACTTTTTTTTGGGGGGGGGGAAATCCATGAAAGCTTCAGCTGAAACGCAAACATTGTTGTGAAGAGTACTGAGAGAGCAGCTGGAGGGCAGTTATGTGCCCTGCAGAAGAGTAAATGTGTTTAACATTGCAGGAGGGCTCTTTATAACCAGACGGCAGGTCTGCGTAAGAGCAATAAATCTATGCAAAAAAATGAAATAAATGGTGCGATACAGACGGGCAGAACAACACAGAGACTCACATGGGCTTCACCCGCAGGTGAAAGGTCGAGTGGGTCTAATCGTGGTCCTCTCGATGACAAAGGAAGCATCACTGTGAGGAGAAAATAAACTGCGTAATTAGTAGGCACGGGACGTAGAAACCGTAGGGGGACTCATTCTGAACAAAAGTCAAACAAGAATTGGGGATTCAGACGTGCAGAAGAAGGCTTTAAATCATTTAAAATCCTATTCATAAGCGGCGCGTTTTCTCTCCTGGCGTGCGAGGCGTATCGATTGGGGAATGTTATTGTGGGAGGGAGGGGGGATTCTGCGAGAGATGATTAATCAAAAGTCACTTCTCTCCTCTGTGTGTATGGATCAGTGCCAGAGAGAGAGAGTGTGTCCTCAATCTACTGTCCCGCTGCCTTTTTAGCAGCCATTTCTCACACTTCTGCCCCGGCTCGCTCCATCTTATCTAACAAGTAAACAGAGCGAAGTGGCCAGAGAGACAAAGATCCTGAGGAAGTGATTTTTCCTGATCTTCCCACTCCTTTTCCTCATGGGTGGTTGTGCTCACCGGGCAGACCTTTTTTTGTGTGTGTGTGTGTGTGTGTGAGATTCAGCGGTGTATTGAAATTGCACAGTGGGCTATACTCGGGAGAAGTTGCAGAGGGGGTTTTTATGATTCAGGTCAAACGCTGGATGCTCGAGACAAACTGAAGCACTTGAGACGAGAGGACTCGCGTTTAAGGTGCTGAACAGATTTATTTTTTTATTTTATTTTTACAAGTTCAATTGTCACACAATCCAGTTTCAATTGGATCCTGCTGGTGAACAATCCCTCACATACTATCATCACTGAGAGAGTATTAAGATTTAATGAAGTTCTCTTAATTTCTGGTGTGTTTTACAGGGAAAGAAAAGACCTTGGATGGTGTTCATTTCTGTCTTTTTTGTTAAATTATTTTATTGGCACGATAGTAGATTCTTTCATCTAAATTTAATCTAAATGTGTGATCCGCATGTAGTGCCCCACCTCGCAACCATTACATCGTGGGCCACATTTACCTTGAACCTAACCCTACATGTTATATACACATTCTGCACAGCCCTGGATTACCAACAGTAATCCAGTGTCCAAGATTCTGTCTTTCTGCAATATCTGCACATGGCAACTTTTTCAAAGGCGGTAGTATGCTTCAACTGAAGTGCTTTGCCGGATGGGTCGAACTGCTTTGGAGAGTCCCTCGCCCGACACCTTTCCCACAGCAGAATTGGTATGTGAGAAAAGTCTGAATTTTTCTCTGTCAAGCTCTCTTTTTTCTCGCTGCCACCTCGCCATCGAGTGAGACTGTGACAGAACAACTTTAACCCTGTTTCCTTCAGACCTGGTGGGACAACATGTCGAACAAGTGTAGTGTAGTCGCAAATAAACTTTGGGCAAGGTATGGTTAGTCTTAGGCATCAAGAAGACTTGGTTTGAGGTTTGGGAAAGTTTGTGGTTTCCGTTAATGGAAGGCAAATTGTAACTGCAGATGACTTTGGTCTTCTGCATGAAAGTCTGACTCGCTACTCGTCCAATCACCGCCCTGCCCTTCACACTCTTAAGCTGCCAGTAGGCTTCGTCTCACATTATCCAAAGTCAGATTAGTGACGTCTGTGGCCAATAGTTTGAATGGTCTCCCAGGGTTTGAACTTCTTTTCTCAAGCTTCAACAACCAAAGTGAACACTATCGATCGTCTTTTGGGAGAGAGGGTCTGAAAATGTGCTCCGTTACGGATGATTTTTAAAAGAAATTCTGCCTTTGGGAACTCTGCGTAACCCAAGCCTTATACATTCCGCCTCTCTACGCATTGGCACTCTTGACGTTGGCACTGGACCTGAAATGGGAGGTTCCAATATGGACACGATGGTGATATCTGATGGGCAGATTGTCTGCCCGCCGAGGTTAAACCTGTGAGCTCTCCAAACAGACATTACTCAGTTTTAACACATTCGTGCCCGGAAGCAGTACAACCTCAGTCTTCTACTGTCAGACACCGAGCAGCCTTCTGGGGTTATTGGTATTCGAGGCTGCTGCGTGCTTCAAACAGAGTGCTGTTTGACACAATGGATGCCGTCACATTTAGTCTGAACAGTTTTGTTTTGTTGGCAAACCAACAATCTGACAGTGACTCCCACTTTCTGTGAGTCTTTCTGGAATAAAAAATATATATCCTCCTTTGGATCATGTAAAATGATTCAAAGTTCTTTCGGTGCATCTCACCTCCTCCCCATTTGTTTATGTCCTGCTGTTCAAACTTACCTCTCGTAAATAATAAATGAGGGCTAACTCGTCCTGTGAAATCGTCCGAGAGTAACGCAAGTGCCTTGCTCATGGGTGTAGTTGATCAGGGACAGAAGAATCTACTCCACGAGTGCAATTCTCTTTAGCCCAGCTGTTCTCAGTAAACTTGCCTCCTTTCATATGTTCTTCATACCTGCTGTATCAGAACTCATCCTACCTATGAATACAAATGAACTCCACTCGCTAAGTAAGTGACTGTGTAACTTGCAAGTTAAAAATAAATAAATAAAAGCATTGTTTTCCCAGGAACTCATTACAGAACCTGCAAGGCAGGGCTTAATGTTGTTTTGACTGAATAATTATCAGTATAGGCCACCGTGATGAAGCTCAATTTGAGCAGCGTGCTATGAGGTAATCACCGGGCGAAGGGCAGACTTATGTGGACGCGCGGATATTCACACCGAACAGAGAAGGCCAGGGATTCACAATGGGACCCGGAGCCGTGGAGGGCGGCTAATGAGCCTCGATGATTCACTCTTGGTCTCCCCCGCCGAGAGAGCCTTGTCCTGCATGGGGCAGAGCGGAGGCTCCTCCAACACATTCCATGACGCAGCCTGTCAGAGCCCGGACGGTAAAGGGGCCATTCAAAAGTTTCTCCTGCAATGAGGGTCTTCTGTGTGTTATTAGGGTCTTGAATCAATCAAGAGACGGTGGACAACAATGTGTCCAAAGCTCTTGAAATGCTTCAGGTCCAATGGGTAATTTTTTTGAATATGACTATTCACAATGCAAGAAAACAGATATTTATTCAAAAAAAAAGTGTTCTAGAGCCTATAAGTGTGAGAGTAAGTGCAACATATACTTCACAATAAAGATGTATCTAAATCACAGCCTTCATGTGTTGCGTGTGAGTCTCCATGTCCAGCTGCCTCCCACAGTCCTTTTAAATTGTCCATACGTGTGAAATTGTGTTGCAAATGTGTATGTTCAGCCATATTTAAACTCTGTAATAGACTGGAGAACTGTCACCTAATGCATGCTGGTAGACGCTCAACAAAGTCCTTGTATGTGGTGCATCTTGGGATGCTGGTGTACAAATCTTGCAGTCTAGAATAGTTAATCCATCATCAATCCATCTGTAACACTATTGTTACTTATAATAATATTGTTATGAACCATAAATTAGCATGACTGCTGCCTGTTGGTAAGAACTCCACCTGTTGAAAGAGCTTGTGCTGGCTGCACTTTAAACATGATTTAGTTTTTGACAAACCTATAGTGTGTTTCTTTTACTTTTTTGTCCTAATTGCTTTTGCTATTTGTGTATTGTTTCCTTTTACTCTTTTTTTCTCTCTTCCTCTGTCTTGTAAATTTGACTGTGTTATAAACGTTCTCCATACATTTGTTTTTATTAAAACGACGTCCATATTTCAACGATGTAATCTCTATGTATGTATGTGTGTGTGCGGGTTGAGGTGAGGTGAGCTCTGTCAAAACTGTTCTCTAGTAGTTTATTAAAAATAGCTACTAAAACATCCACCCAGACTTTTAAACCGACTCGCTCTCTGATTGGCCGGCTGGCGGTCACGTGTCGCAGTGCAGTCAGTCGCCGTGCCGTGCCTCGAGCCAGCGCTGAGTGGAGCCTGTCTGCCAACAGCTTCAGCAGCGGCTCTATCTGGAACCCACTACACTAACTGACAATTAAAAAGGAGGCCCCCGTTTTCTTCTTATTTCCGAGGACTATTCTTCCCACCATGGGCGACAAGAAGAGCCCTACCAGGTAACGCGACCGCCCGCGTTTTTAATGTTGTTTCGTGCGTTATTTTGTGGAGCTCGATATTCGGATGCGTCTCCCTCTCAACACCACACACACACACACATACACACACACGGACGGACGGATCGTTTCTCCCTTTTTTTTTTTCAGTCGGGTATGCACACAGCTAGCTAGAATAGTGCAGTCACTATGGCGGCTTCTCGCTCCCCTTTACAACCAACACAGTCACTTAAACAAGACAAAGGGATTTTTTTCGGAGGAGACGCCTGGCATTCTCCGAAACGCTCTTCCGTCTCCACGCAGCCTTTCGGAGGGTCAATGTCGAAATTGACATTGTTTGATATTGCTTTTGTTAGCCGACAATGCTAAGCTCCCGATGCCGAGGAAGGATTTTTTTTATTTAGCCCTGCTAGCCTAGCTGGCGATATAAAAACGGACGGTTGGCGGAGAGCTTCTTTATTAACCGGGGAGCTTCTACTTTACCGGGTCTCGAACCCAAAAATATTAAAATGACAACCCCCCCCCTCCCCCCCACCACCACCAAATGATTTAGCGCTGCACACTCACTAGCTCGTGCATTTAAATACACAACGTGTTACAACGTCTGTCACACAATCTCTCCTTTTGATTCGTTGAAATGTGTTAAAAAAAAAAAAAAAAAGACTAACTTGACCTTAACATTTTGTCAGGCCAAAAAGACAAGCCAAACAGACCGCCGACGACGGGTACTGGGACTGTAGCGTCTGCACCTTCAGGAACACCGCCGAGGCTTTCAAATGCAGCATCTGCGATGTGAGGAAGGGCACATCCACCAGGTAACGTAGCTCTCTCTCTCTCTCTCTCTCTCTCTCTCTCTCTCTCTCTCTCTCTCGTCTGAGCGTCTCCCCCCCCCCCTCGGCTGGCTGCAGCATCGCAATTTAAGCTGGATGACCACTTTGATCGACAGCCTCATTTGTCTGCGACTTGTTGATGGACAATCTCTGCAAAAACACCTCTGGATTATCCGTAGTCTCTCTCGTTTTATGCGACTATCATTGCATTTTCTTTTATATGCATTGGTGTAGGTAGGCTGGTTGCTGCCTCACTAGCCAGGGTGTGGGGGGGAGAGAGGGGGACCATACTTCATGATGGCTGTACAGCTACACTGCATCAACAGCGAAAGAGCTGCTTTATTTTTTTTTGGAGTGAAACAAGGTGAATGCATTTCACCTACCTGTAGGATTGCAGAGGTTCTGTTAGTGCTCTTGACATAAAGTCAGCGTTATTGTGCATGTGGTGGACGTACAGTAATGTTTCCAGGATTTATGTTTGTAAATCTGTAAATATAGAGATAAACCCCAGATGTGCCTTTTTAGATTTCTTTGTCCGGTTTTCTTCACCCAAAAAATCCATCTCTTTTAAATGTCAGTCAACACATTTATCTGTGATTAATCGTGTTCGAAACTCAAATCTGCCACAAAACGAGTGAATTCACTCATGTTTACTCTCTGAAAAATGTCCCCAGATTAATCATATCGGCGTTTTGTAGCAACAGGCTCGTATGTCCCCGGATGATTCGTACATGTTGTGATGTCAGCTGAAGGCTGCGTCTTATGGGAAACTGAGATGAAATCCCGTCATGACTTGATGTCATGACGGGATTCTCTTTTTCGGGTTTTGTGTACACTTCCTTCCCCCTGATCGGGGGAAATGTTTTTGATGAGAAGTATCTCGGGTTGTTTACTTGTGTATGACACGAAGAGACAGATGAGTCATTTGTGGGTTTGATGACAAGTCCCCTGCACTCTAACCTTTCCAGCTGTGGTTTTACAATGAGTAGCTCGACTGACACCGCCGGCGAACCGCAAAACCGGGGTAGAACACACCGACGCTTGGTTTACTGAAAATACCCCCCCCCCCCCAAAAAAATATTGAGCTGGCTCTTAATTGTCTGGCTCCCCTCCCCCTACGATCTTTTCCCGAGCTGCGCGTAGCTTAAGACCACAGCTGACTGGGTGCAGGCTGAGCAGGAAGCTAGAGACGAGCATGTCGTAGCCATCCTGCCACTATGCTTTGGCAACAGCCCAGTTTGCCTCTATTTGGTAAATGACGTCGCAGGAGTGGCTGTCACGCATTCCTGTTTGATGTGAGTTTTGATGAATGTAATTGTGTAGTTGTGGGGCTTGCCTCTTATTTTAATGAGTACTAATTAACCGTCTTTTCTTTGCCGTTTGATGTATAGCATGGAACGCAGCGGCGTGCTCTCAGCTCAATGATTCACACTTACGGCTAGGTGTGGATGTTTGCCTTGCTGCTTTTTATCTGACGCTGTACTTTGGATGTGCTTTCACGCAACAGTGTTCACTAATTACAGAAGCCCTCGCATGCTGGTAGGAGTCGAAACACCCCTTCTCTCAAAGTTGAAGTTTGATTTGTGTTTACTACAAGATAGGGTAGACTTGGATAGGTATTGATCCGTGCAGTCAGCGTGGCATGATTGTGTTTAAGCGTCTTTTTTTGAAAGGGCTTGTTGTGAATGACTGGAAGTGACCTCTTTCCACACACTCCTTCCACAGTCCCCCAAATATAGCTCTCTTTTCCCCGCTTCCCGGGACAAAGGTCAGTCTGTGTTGACGGTATTTAAACGTAGTGAGGAGAGGATGCACGTCAGCGGACGTTTTTTGCACACGCCTCCGCCCATTCCTGAAGAGGCGTTGTTGGTACAACAGGTGGCAGGCGGCGGATATTAGTGCGGTGACGCGCTTGATGGCTGCAGGGCAAGTCGTGGAGAGCCTCACCTGCCCGTCCTACAAGAAATTCCAGATCAGATGAATAGTTCCACTCCCTTGAGCTTGATGCAGCCATGTGCACTGAGTCATAGAGACACCAGCTGGTTTCTACAGGTGCCGATGGAGGATACACAATTAACGTGATCCGCAATGAGCGACAGTGAGTGAGTGACTTACACTCCACAGAGGCTTGAACTTGTCCCCCCCCCCCTGCAAGCTAGGTAACTATAGGTCAATGGAGGCAAGAATGTGTGTTAATGAGGGGCAAAACTCTGGCTGTGGCATCAGCATGCAGAGAGAGGCCCCATCTAACGAACCCTTTGACCCAGTCCAGCTCGGTGATGTAACATTATACCCAAATAGGTTAAATCTAGCCCCCGCCACTCTTGACTCTTAAACAAGAAAGCGCTCTGCTTTTCGCACCCAACCTAGCCGCTAATCTACAAGTCCGAGTAGCCCAAGTGTTTCAGCATCTGCATTCAGCGCCCGCTTTCTTTTGGTAATTGGAGATAGGGGCTCGCATTAGCATCCCCATGCTATCATATTTAAATGTTTCTGGCATCTGAAGCCGACCGCTGCGTGAACGTGACACCCCGTGTTGCCGTGCATCGGTTTGCTTTTGCGGCGGTGTTTGGTATGCACCCCCCCCCCCCTCCATCAGCCCCCGGGGCCCGGGGAGGAAACCATTAGGAGCCCTCTAAAGTTGATTGATGGCGGGGATCACAGGAAGTCTTGAGGTACCTCAGTCTTTGACTGCCGTGCTGTTATCTGTGCGCTGGTTCTCTGTTGTCAACCATTTCAAGTAGCTTCCATGTAAAACAGAACAAATGGGTTTCTCTCACTGGTTCGCAACATTCGGTGCTCTGACTAGATTCAATAAAACTAATTTAAATGGTCCGCAATTCATCTGAAGCTCAGACTGCAGAGGTGGACCTGAACCATAGCTACCCATATACTGTATATACAGCAGTGGGAGGTACAGGAGTTCATTCATATAGGTGTTGGATATAAGGCCAATAAATTATCTTTAAGCCACTTGATCCTTCGTACAGTGTTGTAATGTTATAGTTACCACGCAGCGAATGTGGTTTAAGGATCTAATCTGAATTTTTCTCAGGTGATCTCAATAGCTGGAGTCCAGACGACTCAGCAAAACGAAGCCTGAGCTAAATCAAATGACACATGACATTTTATTTTGGCACTTATTCATTTCTATTCTCTGTGTCACCTGGCTGTCTCTGTGGGTTTACACTAGCCAGCTTTTATTTGTACTCGGATAGCAAGGCAGGCCTCACTGTAAGTGATTAAAAGTCTCTTTTTTCATTCACCTGTAGCTTGTGTAGACTGACCTGTGGGTAATGTCATGTACAAATATTGTCACATGTATGAAGAATTTTAAGGTGACGGTAAGCTTCCATGACTCAACCATAAGCAGTGTCAGTAGATTTTTAATGTGCTTAAGTTAATGTGTTTTGCATTACGTCTGTGGCTTTATGATGCGGCCATAAGGGAAATGCATAAATCCACAGATTATGAAAGTCAGAACCAGGATTGATGAACAGAATCAGGACGGATACCCGACCCTGAAGCCACGAGTTACTGGTGTGGCTAAAAAAAAGTAAAAGTGCTTCTCTTTCTTTTGTGTAAGCGTTGAGGCTGCACAATTATTGGAAAATGATTGCAGTGTGTCTGCATTTGTGTGTGTGTGTCTGTTTGTGTGTGTGTGTGTGTGTGTGTGTCTGTTTGTGTGTGTGTGTGTGTGCGCACGCTCCTTTTTTGTCTTTTACAATGATGGAATAGAGCCATTATAATCCGTGGATTCTACCACTGTCACATTAAGGCAAATTGTTTAGGATAATGGAATTACATAAGAGGGACATGCCGGCGCTCAATTTATATCTGCCCCCCCTCACAGCAGCCCCTGCTCAGAGGAAACTGCTTTTTGCTTATCCGGCATTATCAGCATCTGCACTAAAGCCCTGAGCGCGAGCGGGTAGCCCTAATCTTTACATGTTAATTGCCGGATTTAAAAGTTCTTAATTACTTCATGGGATTTGGCAGTGTGTGAGTGATTAAATACAGTAGCCAATTTGGCAATTTGACAAAAAACTGAGAAATGTTGAGAGAGCTGCTGAATCGCGGGCTCCTCCTCGCCGCACAAAAAAAGAAGAGAGACGAGGCAAATGAGTGCGACGGCGAGGGAGCGAGCAGTCTCTGCGAAAAAATACAGAAAGAGGCATATGAGGACAAGGAGTGAGGGAGTAAGTGTGGAGCTAGCTGAGGAGGGAAGACAAAGAGAGGGCAAGGGAGGACACAGGGAGAAACAGAGCGGTGGAGGGACAGAGAGTCTGGACATTTATATGTGTGTTGAAGGGGGGGGGGGTGTATGGATCGCTGCAAGGGGGATGTGCTCAGTCAGCCAAGAGTCTCCAGGGGCTAAAGCACATCATTACCCAGGGAGGGAGAGCGATAGTCTGGGCAGCCTCTTCTGTTTCTACCAGCAACACCACCGTCCATGCAGCACCGTTCCGACATGTGTGGACATTACGGACATTTAGTGGTGAAGATTGGTTCAGAGTCGGATGGTTTGAGCCCGGCTGCCTGAGCATTACGGAGAAGCCGCGCACCAGAAATCCAAAATATTTCGGTAGATCTGAATGGCTACAGCAGTTTGAGTGGCTTTGTGTTTGACTTCCTGGTGTCTGGTTTCTTCTCTTGATATTTGCATTTGCTCAGTTGATGTTGTGTAGAACACGAGAGCCCGGCTGCGAAGGTCCGACGTCCCCTTTGGCGGTTTCTGCACATTGCAAAGCAGGCGCTGTTTACGCTAAAGCGAACAGGCAAGAGGATGACGGGGACAACCGGGTTCTACTTGACAGATAACTCACGCACACCAGAGGCAGAAGGCGGGAGAGAGGGTAAAGAGAGGTGAAGACGACCTACTTAAGAAGCCAGCCGGATTTTAGGCCGGGGCGGTGCGACGGGAGGCTAATAATGCACAGGGAGAGAAAGTGAAGGAGACAAAAGAGAGTGATGGAGTGGAAAAC